ATTACAAAAAGAAAAGAAATTAAAAACAGTAAATAAGTTGACAAAAAAGCAGAAAAGGAAAAATAGCTACTAATTAATTTAGCACAAAATCCATAATATTGTCCCACTACTTCAGTATCACACACACGATTTCATAACTGTTAGTTTTCGTGGTGAAAGTTTGACTCATGATATATAACGTTATCTCTACATGCAATTTTTTGAGAAAGTTCATATCTACATACATTCAATGTAATTTTTTATAGTTTTTTTAAATTGCGCTATTGATCTTTTCTGTAAAAGAATGATCAAATTTCACTTTCTAACAATATATATCGATGGCTTCTGATGTTTTCTTTGAGAGGTTTGTTTCCAAAGATTAAGAAAAGAAATCACAACATTTTTATGGTGAAGCTTAGTGAAAGGTTGGCGGATGAAGACTAAAATCCAGGTTAATAAAACTAAATACTTGCAAACTTTTCAATACTTAAATCACAATTTGCATCATGTTAATTTTTTTCATAGATCTTTATCTCTTCTAACGTACTTACAATAACTATCTTTTTAATAATATACATTTCATCAATATCATTTTAAAAATAGACTAAATTAATTTTCAGTTTCCTAGGAAATGTTTATTGGATGTGGTGATGATAAGTTGAAGAGTGAAAGTAAGAAGCTTAAACCGAATTTACAAGGCTCCTAATAAACTTGAGAAGCACTATAAGAACCAAAAAAAGGCAGCTATAACTAGAACGCAGAAAATGGAGATCAAGAAATGGTGGTAGAAACAAAGACTCATGTTTACGCTCTAGATCAAACCAAAGATGAGGTTGGTTTTTCTTATTTCAATTGTTTTATAATCTTATAGAGATATTATTTTTTGTTTAGTTACAGATCAATATACACTTTTTCTATTTTCTTATATAATATTACTAAATTTTTAAAACAAATCACGAACAAAAACTTTGAAATAAATAAAACATCGAAAATAAAAAATGAAAGAAAGTAATAAAAAGAATATACATGAGAAGAACAAAAACATTACAAAAAATAATGTTGAACCATGGTGAAAATATGACTTCAACTACTTACAAAAGTTCAACAATAGTCTACTCTATTAATATTGAACATGCCCATGCAGAGTTCAACAATAGTCTACTCTATTAATTTAGAGTTCTATTTGAAAATTATCATGGCATACCTTTTTTGGACTCATTAAAAATGTTGTGACTTCTATTAACTAACATTCTATAATCCTATTGTAGTACTGGATTTATATTGTTCTCTCCGCATACGTGATACATTTTTCTTAATATTTCAAGACTTTTTTCAACTACTGTTAATCATCTCAGCATCCATTACTAGACTTATATTTCTTCAACTAATTTTTAACTCTTTCAAGAACAGAAGTCCTACTCATAATCGACATTCTTCATTTACTTCAAACAAAAGTCAAAGAAAATAAGTCTTACTCATAATCGACATTCTTCATTTACTTCAACCAAAAGTCTTAACCCAAAGCACCAATTCAGTGTGTTGAGGACACATGAATTGTATTTGAAAAATGGATGAATATGTATATGTGGTGATATCTGCATCAGACTACAGCCATATTACTTGATCTATACGGTTTAAAAAAACATAAGTCGATAGCTGAAACATAATAATTACTTCATACTATATAACATTATAGTGCAAAATCGTATTAAATTTTTTGAAAAAAAATTGAATATCTAAACAATTATATTTGATATCATAAAAGATTATGAAAATCTAAACAATTATGTGCATGGATAATTACAATTCCGAATATACTTGGAATCTAAATAATTATACTTAACAGTTACTTAATGGGCTTATGTATATCCAGAAAAATTCTAGCCCATGGAAGTAATTGTATTTTCAGGCCTATATATTCTCTTTTAAAAGTTCCATTCTAATATTTGAATATTTAACTGTTTTTAAGTTATGTTATTTTAAAAACAATTAAATATTTAATTACGTAAGGCTAATTTATATAACTAAGTTATTTCGCAAATGATTTTTATCATATTTAAGCATACATCTAAAACTAAAATTTTCTGCAAATAGTGTATATATCAATATTTACAGAAAAAGTAGAATATTATACTAATGTACTATTATTAAATGAAAATTTTAGTTGCATTCATGTAGTGAATATTAGAATATAGGTTTTATTTTACGATTTTTTTATTTATATATTTACTAACTTAACTTATAGTAAAAACTATATTGTAAACTTAAACAACAAAAATACAAACATTATAAATGATAAATAAAATAAATATAATAAAATGATAATATGTTTTTTGAAAAACATCTTCTATATTAAAAGAGAAGTCTATACTATTATTTGCGAAGTGATTTTTCGCAACGGAGCTCTCACGTTAAAAGTTGTAGTGGTTAATATCTATAATACCCTTAGTGAATATTTTATTTGTACTTCTATTATACAATTTAATTAACTATAGAATACCATATGTTTAATATATTATAAGGATAGGTACGTTAATGGATCATTATATGTTTACGTAGATTTTACGATTAGTTTATTGAATCAAAATTATCTGTATATTTAAATAGTATATAAAGATTAAAAGAAGAATGAGGTATATCTCCTTTTGATAATATGATTTAGTTTATTTTGACATTTGTTTGGTTTTTATCTTTATTTGTTACTATCCTTATTATCATTGGACTTATCTTTCTAGACAAACCAATTAGTGTTTCAAAAAAAAAAAGACAAACCAATTAAACAAGGCTGTATATATACTATATATACGTTAAGTTAAACCCCATGTCCTTAAAAGCTTCGAAAGCAAACCTTCTTATATGAAAGCAAACTTTCTTATATCTAAATAAACGATTTTTTACTTAGTGCAAAACATGCCCCATCTACGTAGGAAGCCAACTACTTTAGTTTTGATTGATAACATTAAACCACGGAACAATCTATAAAAATTAAAGGTTTAGATTATAAGATTGTGAAAAGTTGTCTGCTTTGAGATGGTTCTAGAAGATGCAATTGTAATAACACTACAATATTAGTTTTGATGATTTTTATTATTTTATGTTGAAGTATCTTACTTTTTAATTGTAGGAAACAAGGATACATGCATCCTTAAACTATATAAATTAGCTAAAAATAAAATACGAAGTTAATACTTATTTTACTAGAGTATTTGTTCAAACTAATAACAAGAATAATTATTCAAAATTTAAATATATATTTTAGTTTTAAAAAGATAATTCTTATATATATATTGTGTTGTTATCCAAAAAATATATTTTTTAAAAAGTAAAATTCAAAAACTCATAAACAGAAAATACATAAAATAATATTAATAAGCCATTCTTAATTTTATATATTTGAAAATAATATTGAATTATTTTTTATTTATTTACTAATAATAGTATAATAAATATTTTTTTTAAAATCAAATTATAGCATATAAAAATTTTATATGTATAGTTGGTAATGCATTTACTAATAATAAGTAATTATAAAATTGTTAAGCCCGCATGTGCGGGCAAAACACCTAGTACCATTTATATCTACTACAAAAAGTCATATTGGACTATTTCATTAATATAACATATTTGATTATTTATATTAATCAACCAAATATATATTACTGAATAAATATTTTAATAATATATAACTATAAAGTTATCTTTAATTTCATTTATAACAAAATCTGTTGAGAAAATATCTAACAAGATCTTACCAAGAAAATAAATATTTTTATAAAATATATATTATTTAATTTCGTGATTAATATATATATATATATATATATATATATATATATATATATATATATTAATGTTAATTAAAAATAAAAATTGGTATATTTTATAATTTAATGATTTTCTATATTATATTAAAATAAAATGCTATGTGAAATTAATATAAAAATGTATTAAATTGGTAAAGAAAAATATTTTATTTTAAAATTTTCTTTTATTCACTGTTAAAACATATTAATTTTTTTAAATCATGTANATATATATATATATATATTAATGTTAATTAAAAATAAAAATTGGTATATTTTATAATTTAATGATTTTCTATATTATATTAAAATAAAATGCTATGTGAAATTAATATAAAAATGTATTAAATTGGTAAAGAAAAATATTTTATTTTAAAATTTTCTTTTATTCACTGTTAAAACATATTAATTTTTTTAAATCATGTAATATTTTTATAAAAAAAATGTTGACATATATTTTTGTAATTCACAACAAATACATTATCTAAAAATATATATTTGATATTTTTAAAAAATGACAACAATATATTATGTAAAATAATTAAAATAATAAGATTCTATAGTTATACAATATAAAAATAAAATGTAAATGATATATCTGAAAGATTTTGTTATATTTTTATAAAATAAAAAATTACCCGCACGGATGTGCGGGTTCAAAATCTAGTATATATTTATTACAAAAAACCAACATTGTCCGCGCAATCGCGTGGGTTAGAATCTAGTACATGATAAATACAGATATAGTAAAGTGAGCATTAATATAGACATGTTTACTTCAAATGTATTTGGTAGGTGGGCCAAACAAATAAATAAACAATCTTCGTATTTCGTTCGATGTTTAAGCTTTTTTTTTTGTTTCAACGTTTAAGATCTTTCTTGTTTTTCTACACTGGACATCTAAAGCATCATCATCTGCGAAAACAAAAATACTCAGTAAATGTTGCTCAGTAATCTAGCCACAAACTAAACCATAATTTTATATTTACAAATTTATTTTTAGTTAAACTTTTATGTTAAGAAATACCGACCTCCATCATATAATTTTGTTTCAAGTCCCCGAAATCTCAGCAGCGGCCCTGTTTAGAGAATATTGATACATCTTACTCGTGCATAAATACTTGTAACCCAAATACAGATTTCTCTACAGAACAACTAATACAACTATACAAAGTAAAAGGTTAGGGAGAATCAGACACGCGATCCAGTTGTAAGATTTCATCTTCCATCACCATACATGATTGTGTGAGAAATGAACATTGAGTTGTTGGCAGGGGAAGAAGAAACCGATGGTGGTAATGCTGATGAGATCCGTGAAGTGGAAGTGATTGCCAGGGAAGGTAACCCCATTAACACTGGCGTAGAAACTCCAATTCCGGGAGTATCTGGAGATAAATCAGGCAACGTTTGGTGTCTGTTAATGTATTGCACCACTTGTTCCATTGATGGTCGTGAATCAGGTACAAGGCTGGTACAGAGCAAGCCGAGTTTCAGAACCATTTCGACCTCCCCGGGAATGAACTTACCTCCCAGTCTTCTATCTATAGCATCAACCAGAGAGCCCCTTTTCCAGCATTCAACAACCCATTTGACCAAATGTCGCTTCTCAACCGGCATCTCGGGATCAAATGGTCTCCTCCCACAAGTCACTTCAAGCATGAATGCACCAAATGCATACACATCTGTTCTAGTTGAAGTTCCAGATGATGTTAGCTCGAGCGCCATGTAACCTATGGTTCCAACAGCTGATGTTGCAGAGAGGTTAGCTCCACGATCATCAAACCTTGCCATCCCAAAATCTCCTAAGAACCCTTGTAAGTTTCCATTTAGCATGATATTAGAAGCTTTGATGTCTCGGTGTAAAACAACTTGGCTGGCTCCAGTATGCAAGTAACAGAGCGCAGATGCAATATCTCTCAGAATCGCAAGTCTTTGAGACCACGAAAGAGGCGGTTTATCATCGCGAAACAAATATTGATCAACGCTACCCCCTTCCATGTACTTGGAGACCAGCAACAACTCGCCTTTTCGCCTGCAATACCCGAGAAGAGGAACCAAGTTCTTGTGCTGTAAACTACCCATTGTCACAACTTCAGCAACAAACTGTTTCATCCCTTGCTCAGCATCGTGCGATAGTTTCTTAACCGCTATGTCTCCTCCAAGGGGCATAGTTCCTTTATAGACTTCTCCAAAACCTCCCTTTCCAAGACGACCATCTCTTTTAAACCCTCCTGTTGCTTTATATAAAGATTTGTAGGTATAGCGAAGTGGACCGTATGGCTTTTCCCATGGCTCTTTAACTTCTGCATACTTCTTTCTCCTGTACACAAAAACTCCTACAAGAACAGCCATTACTATGAGTCCGAGTACAACCAGTAGAATAATAAGCAGAGTAGATGTTTTCTTCGGTATCTTGGGACGAGGGACTGTGGGAAGTTTAGAGATGTCAAGGCTCTGTAATGCAACTCTGCTTGTGCTGAAACTCCATCCTAAGATGTACTGGTAACTGATCAGTGACCCAGTTGCTGCTGAGAATCCGACAAATGCTTTTCGATCCGGGAAAACTGATGTGAGATTGATGTTTCTTGACAAAAGAGGCTTACTTGGCTTCTGGTTTCTTAGAGGAGCTAATGTAACATTGAGTAGAGCATCTTCATAATCAATCCACACCTGGATAGGATCTCCACTCAAGAGTGTCAAGCTTTTGTTCGTTCTTTCTATGTCGGAATAATAAGAAGCTGGAGCAGACACAACAGAGTGTAGATTGTTTTCGTCTATACCGACATGATTTTTGTCGATGTCGTCAAACTCTGCGCTTTGGACCGTGTCCAGCTCGATAGCTAGAATCTGAGAAGAAGGAGATCCATTAGTTGAGATGTTGAAGAGTCCTAAGTATTGAGTTGGGTCTGCTTGTGTGAGATCCATTGAAGATGATAGAACAAAGGCAATCCCATGACCACCATCAGCTCCTGGTTTAGGGACCAACGCGCAAACGAAATGAGTCCAAAAAGAGAGAGACTGAGATGAAGCTGAACCGAAATCGAATGGGCGGTTGAAGAACGCATGACCCTTTTGCTGAGCCGTGGCATCGGTTAGCTGCAAAAGTCCACCTGGGAGTTGGATTCTTGCAACTCCGTCAAGGTGAAGATCGCCTTGGCCTTGGTTAAAGCCGTTGTAGACGAAACTTAGGTCTTGTTGACTTGAAAACTGAATCAGAATAGCAAAGAAGATTATAGAGAGAAGACGAAGATGCAATCGTTGAGCCATTTGGAAATGAAACGCAATAGGTAAGCCTTGGTTGGTCAGGTCATATAATGCATAACGGAACGACTTCAAATGAAAGTTTCGACGTTCCAAGTTCAGGAAAAAATATTCCCTCTAGGCATAGCAGAGAGTTGACTTTAGAATTGTTTTATCTCTAACCGTGAGAGTTACTCTACAAATAATAGTCTTTGATAACAATTCTACTAAGAAAAGTATTTGGTCTCCTCTCATTTTAAAAACATCAAGTCGTAGAATATTAAAGAAAGCAATTATTGGTTTGGGACATGCATGAAGCGTCTTGAAAAGACAAAGACTCTGCAGCTTTACGACTTTAGAGATGAAGGTGCATTGTGATCAGTTGAGTTCCGAAGCCATAGGAAGAAGCAATGGGGTAACGTGCTTAAGAAGAATCCGGTAAAGTCCCTGCTCTCTTTGCCAAACCCATGCTTGCTTTATACACAAACGATCCAAGGTCTGTGCATTTCAGGTCGGTCATGCAACTCCACCAATACCAAGTTATCTGAATTGATTACTGTAGGTATGGACTTGGTCATTTAAACGAGACACCAAATTATCCTACCCGTTTGAATAGTTTTAGTTTCTTTTAGGGAAAATAGGCTTCAAAGTGCCAATCACTAGAAATTTAAACCTTCCACTTAGCTTTTGTATCACAACAAACTTTCAATTTGGTTTATTTATTCATCAGATTAAAATTGTGACTTGTTAATCTGCAATAATAGGTTACATGTTGATTTTTTTATTTTCTATTTTAATTAGTAAATACAATTAACAATAAATATTAATAAACAAAACTAAATAAAATTAGAAAGTTACAGAAAAAAATCTAAAATTGAATTTCATAAGAAAAATATTTTATTAAAATTTGAAGTTTTGAAAATGTTAACATTATTATTTTTAAATACAGAAAAATTCAAAAATATTAATCTTAAAAAATCAAAATATTTTCTTAAGAAATACAAATGTTTTTATTTTTATTTAAAGCGTTTAATTTTGATATGTTGATATACTAATAACATTGATTTTTGACATTATTGTCATTATCGATATACCATAAATGTTACTCTTAATGATGATATGATAAAGAGTATTCACGTTAATGATGATAATGTTTAAAATTATTTAACTTTTGTGAGAAAATTTTATAGCTTTCATATGGTTTAAAAAAATATATATTTTGAAAGTTATAAAATATTTGTGAGATAAAAGATATACAGATAAAAGATTTTTTTTTAAATAATATGAAAGCTATAAAAATAAAAACACTTCTAAATTCTTTTGATTTTTTAAAATTAATATTTATGAACTTTTCTGTATTTCTTTTTCTTTTTAAAAAATATTTAAAAAAACTTAATTTTTTAAAAAAATTGAAATTTTAAGAAATATTTTTATTTTTAGGAATTAAATTTCAGAATTTTTTCGTAAATTTCTAATTTTATTTAATTTATATTTATTTTTAATTGCATTTCTTAATTAAATAAAATTAAACAATCAACTTTTAACCTACTATTGTAGGTTAACAAGTCACAATTTTAACTTCATGAAATAAGTAAGCCAAGTTGAAAGTTTTTGTGATACAAAAACCAAATTTAAAGTTTAATATGCTAGTTAAATACGTTTGAGGTTTAAAATGCTAGTGAATATCACTTTGAATGTTTTTTGGGAAATTGCCAAATATAGCACTTTCATGATACCACATTTCATTTATACATTAATCAACTTTACCATTAAAATTTTAGTAGATAAAATACCATTATACCCTTACCTAATTCTACCGCGAGGAAGCACGACTATATCTTCTTGGATGTGAGATCCGGCAAACTCCGACTACGACGATAAACTCCGACTACGACGATAAGATATGTGCGACGTTGGCGATTGCTTTTGTGATGAAAGCTCGCTTCCGTTGCCGCGCAATCACCTGAGAAACTTCTCGGTCGTCCGTTAAACGCTGATAAGCCGCCGTATCTTGACATCTTTGATTCGCCTCAGCTCATGTCTTCGCCTGCTCAGGTGAACTCATCACTTCCAATTCC